ATTAAATAAGTATTCGGTACCCAGCCCTATCTCTGTATCACACTGTTTTGTTGTTAACTGCCGTTACACTTCAGTGATGGAGATTTTTAACCTTTACTTTCAGATTTTTTCTGTGATTCTTGCACCTGTTTTTATTAATTCCTTGTTTTTAATGTGATTATGTGTGCTTATTGTTCTCGGGTCTCTCTTGGAAAAGAGATCTTAATCTCAGTGAGACTGCCTAATTAAATAAAGATTAATAAAGCGCTAAAGCCCCCAGATTTAAAAATTCCTGCGAAATGCAGACATATTTACCTGCTGGTTGTAGGCTTAATCAGCATTGTGTGGAATCTACGTCACCAAATCCATGACGGCTGCCACTGACTCCACCCTCACAAACTGCCTCACAGAAATAAAATCTTGGATGCAAGCTAACTACCACAAACTCATCAAATCCTGCCACAGTTTCTCCCTCTGCACTGATTCCCGCCTCATCAAAAAACTACAATACATCCAAAACTCAGTTGCCTGTTTGGTCACCCTCTCTTGCAAAACCTCCACTAGCTCCCCATTCAACAAAGAATCCAGTTCAAAATACTCCTCAACAACCTTGCTCACTCCTACCTGCAACCTCCTCACCCCTCTCACCCACTCCAAGCACCGGACCTGGGGGGACAGGGCCTTCTCCATTGCTGCCCCCTTCCTCTGGAACTCTCTCCCCAAACACCTCAGACAATTTATATGCTGTTTTGCTGCTGAGTTTACATATCTAGTCTGATCAAGAACCCATTACTGTAAAACTTCTAATAATAGCCCGGTCGTTTGTTTGCTTAAATCACTGAACTCCCCCTGCCTTTTTGGGGGACAGGCCTCTATTTGGGACAGGCGTTTAATTCCTTCAGCAAAAAAACTAAACTCTAACTGCTGCTTCTCTTGAGTTTAACATGATAACTATGATCACTTCAGAGGTTTTTTTTCGCTTGCTACAATAAATATATTAATTTCCAAATGTATTTTAACTGTAATTTTATGTGAAAAAAGGACAATTTTCTTTAAATAAGCAGTATGTTTATGATTGTTTACAGTTACAGATTTATTAGTTAAAAGTTATTTTACATTAGACATGTAAATTCACAGACTATTTTTGTAATCTTATTAATATTTCCACGTTTTTAACAAAATACGGAAAAAAAGATACAGAATTGTTTTTTACAGTGCAGATAAACTGTGTGTGGATCATAAACTACTGGTTTGAGAACTGGATTACTGTGGTTAGTGCTGTTTGGATTTGTGTTTTGTGTCTTTTGCATTGGGGGGTTGTGTTGTTATCTTTATGTATTTATTATATTTCAATTGTGGGATATCTTTTGGAAAGTCATTTTTATAAGGTTTATCTTTATGTTTGTGTTTGGCTGTTGTTTATGTATTTTGTTGTTAGATGCCGGAATTCATGGGCAAGGGCTTGAATGTAACATACCTTAATTTATATGTAAAAGTCCAGCTTCACATTGCGATAGAGACGTCCTCTATCGATGATACGATGATTTATATACCTCTCAATCTCATTGGCCCTTTTAATCTGTTGGTTTCTCTCTCTGTTTGTTTTTCAATTTCTCATTCTCACAGTTTATCTTTGTCTTTCACTTCTCTCTGTATCCACAGCTCTGTCTTTGCTCTCTGTTTCTCTCTCTCTTTATCTTTCTCTTCCTCTGCCCCGAAGCCTCACAGGAAGCAGAAGGCCAATTTTTGGGGAAAGGAGGGGGAGTGGACATCACAGATTTTATTTTTGTCTAACATGATTTGGCACAATGCCCTTATCCCAGATTAAACTTCCCAAACTGACGCGGTTCAGAGGGTTGCAGACTGTCCGCTTACAGTCTCTGTCGGACCCTCTTTGTACCAGGAAGTCATGTTTCAATGGAGGTTTAATGAGGAATTGGATGACTGCAGCTGCACCTGTTCAACAATTTCTCGATCGCAGACTGATAGCTGATCAATCACAACAGCAGGTGGTCTGATCAGAGAAGGATGAAGCCTCTGTTAGTACTTCAGGTGAAGACTTCCATTGAAAACATAATAGGGGCCCACTTTTCTAGGATGTTTTGGTCGATCCACATCCTCAAACCATCTGATTGTATTGTCACCTAGCAACCATTAATAGTATATACTGTATAATGGACAAAGCCTCCGGGTCTCTGAGCCTCAAATCTGTTCCTCTTCTGTGACTTTTCTCTCTCTCAATTGTTAGCTAACTTTAGTGCTTCTAATCAGGTTTTCCATTAACACTTTTGGCTGTACAAAGTGGGGGAGATAAAAGTTTTAGATGGGGTCGTAAATGTGTGCAGTTTGTTTAGGGGGAAAACCCAATACTGCTGAGTTTGTTACTTCACAATGAAATCGTTCAAATAACAAAATAACCAGACCACCCACTTTTATTGTGAAGAATTTACAGGAAATTAAAAGTGTGTATCACCAGAGTGGAGCTTTGTTAGCTGGTTGCTCTCTCTTCAATCCAGAGCTCTCTGGGGGGAAATGTCTCTGCAGCATTCCTCTAGGATTAAGCTTGATTTGTAGTTGCTCGTAAAAAACGGTTTTCATGCAGTACAACTTTAAATAATTGGAAGAACTAACTAACAGCGTTCTTTCAGTTAAAAATGAGGAGCTTGAATTTGTGTACGTTTCTAGTCTATATTCCCTGAGTAAGAGATTTACATAGATTATAAGAGTGTGACAGACGTTTAGTTCCAGATGTTGAGTGATGCTCAGCAGCAGCAGATGTGGATGCTCACACATACAGAGGTGGATCTGATTGTGCTGACCATGTGACCTGCTGTCTGTCAGCAGCTCTCTAAGCAGATGGCATCTCTCTCTCTCTCTCTGTGTCCTCAGACAACTCCTCGATCCTCCACAGATCAGCGTTACATCTGCTTCACAAACGTTTCATTTAGCCAAAGCTTAAAGTATGTGTACGAAACAGATAAACAAACTGTTTATCTAAGAATAGAAATCACTCTGTCGTGTGTTGATGTGTAGGTGGCAGACAGTTTCATACAACGATGTCTTTTGAGCTCAGATGCAGATCTGTGTTGTTTGCCTTTTCTTTGCCTCCTCGTTTGTCACTTTGTTGCTTCCTGCTTGTTACCAGGGGAGAGGTGGCTTGGAAGTCCCTGAACATCACACAAACAGCTGAGACTGACACGGCCCGATGCCCACACAATTATCTGTGATCGAGGGAAAAAATATAAAGATCCCAAAGAGAGATGTAGGATTTTGGCTGTTGTAAAAGAATGTCAACACTAATACATACATATACATATACATATACATATTGGGCTTCATTGTCCTTAATCAATGGTGACAGCTGAAGAGTGACAGGAAACAGGGGGGAGAGAGAGGGGATGACACGCAGCAAAGGGCCACAGGCCTCACACCGGGCACCAGTTCTACTAGGTGAGCTACCAGGGCGCCACACATCCTGCTTAGATTTTCTGAAGTAAAAAGTCTAAAGTAGCAATTTTGGTGTGGATTATGGGAAATGTAACACCTTAAAAAGCAGCAGTATTTGTCAGTAGGGGGGCTGTTAACATATTTATGAAGACATCCAGTTTAATTGATAAAACACAAGTAAAAAAAACATGTTTTTAGCACATTTGTGCCTCTGTAAATCTTGTTCAGTATCATTTAAACTAGTTTGGACTTTTCCATCATAAACTGCACAGAACCTTTTAGAAAAGACCAGAAAAAATCTTATTTTATGTCATTTTCAGGGTTGTGCACAGACTGGGGGCTTCTGAGAGGATTTAAAAGAGCTCTTAATGGGGATTCAAAAGAAAAGATCAATCAATCATCTCATCTAACTTCTTCTAGAAAACAAGCAAATATTTCTCAAAATGTCGGCCTGTTCCTATCGAGCACTGAGAGAAGAAACAGCAGAAATATTAATAATGAAACATGAAATTAAGAGTTTTTATTTAAACTTCTGCAGCTTCTCTGTGGAAGAATTTACCAGCTACAAGATGTTTCACCAGAAATATTAAATGATGAGTGAATCAGTTGGTCAGCAGGTGTGATTGATGAAAACACAGTTTGGAGACGGCCCGAGGGCTGAGATGGGAAAAGTCGATGTAGTGATAAAGAGAAGATTAAAAGCTTCTTCCTCCCTCCTCCTGCAGCTGTGGGTGCAGCATCAGCAGTTTGCAGTCAAAGTTTGCATGCAGAGGAGCCGATTCATTAAAGGGTCATAAATGTTGTATGTGGCGACACTGAAGTGTCAAAACTTTATCAACAGAAAGTCCAAAACGCCAGTGAGCACAGACCAGTGGCGTGCACAGACTTTTTGAAGGGCAGGGGCGGAAAGAAAAAAAAAATATGGAGGGCACGTTTTATATGTTGGCACATAAAGCCTAAACGACTAACTAGACAGACTCACCAGTTAGCTTGCTTTGCTCCCAATAGGAACTGTGTGCATTAGCAAGTTTTGGACGGAAAATCCCAAGGGGGTGGGGACAGATTCACTTAAGTAGATGCCATTTCCTGTATTCTAGTGCATTTTAGCACCATTTAGCGTTTTGGGCTCACCTAATAACAGAACTTAGAAGAGGGCACTTGAGTGTTTTCCACCCAGAGGGCATTTAGTGTTTTTGGCTCCCAGGAGGGCCTTTGCACCCGTTTTTTCCCCCTAGGAACCATAAGCAGGTTTTGGCCCCCAAGAGGGCACTTTAGGGCAGTTAAGCACACGTTTTGGCTCCCAATGGGACACTTTAGCATGGGTTTTGGCTCCCAAAGAGGGCACTTGAGAGAGTTAAGCACCGTTTAGGCACACGTGTTTTGGCTCCCAAGATGGCACTTGAGGGCACTTTAGCACGCGTTTTGGCTCCCAAGAGGGTACTTTAGCACGTGTTTTTTCAACAATTAGGCCACATGGGAAGGCGCCCCCCCCCCCCCGTGCACGTCACTGGCACAGACACATGCTAAATGCACACAGAAGGATATTTTCAATAACTTTTTCTCTCCGTTTGCAGCCGACCTGCTGGTGAACACACTGTGCCTCCCCTTCACCCTCGTCTACACTCTGCAGGGAGAGTGGAAGTTCGGCAGCACCCTCTGCTTCCTGCTGCCCTACGCCCAGGGGCTCGCCGTGCACGTCTCCACAGTTACGCTCAACGTCATCGCCCTGGACCGCCACAGGTGGGTGTGGCCTAAAGCTGGGATCGTTTATATGGTTTTACACTAATGAGAGTCGAGTAGATATCCAGACAGATTTAAAGGGCTACTCTTTATATTTTAAATGTTTTCTTACACCACTTAAAATCAAGAAGGCCTCTCAACCCTCCGTTAAGTTTTGAAGCGTGCTTATGTAAGCATGAACAGACTGATTGCAACCAATAATATCACTGCATTCACCCGTCAATGAATCTTCAACTTTTAGTGGGACAGAGTGAACACGACCTCTGAGACAGACGGAGGACAGTTTGACGACAGCGGTACCGAGGTGACTTGTTACTAAAAGAAAGTAAAGTCTCTTTAACATTTTCGCCATCAAATGGAGTCTCAGCATACAGACAGCTCTTGCCGCTGCTATTGTGCACATTGACTCTGTTACACTTTAGTAAGTATCATCGGTAACACCTGTGAAAAAGGTCTATTGTGAGTCCTCAGTCAGTGCTGCCATCCTCTGCATGATAAATATTTAAAATATAAGTCATTTCCACCTTAATACAACTTCTCTCAGGAAAGGAGGATTACAATGACGATTCACATGCAAATGGGGCACTCTGATGGCCTTGCTGCACCACTAATAGCACAATTCAGCTTCAGTTAGCTGTTTTTTGGCAGTTTGAGTGTAGGTGTTAAGTGTGCGGTGAGATTTGGATGAACAGTGGCTCATTTACGTAATTTTAACCTTCAAGCAGACCTGCGTTTGAACAACTCGTGTGAGTTCAGACAACTTCAAGATTAAATATTCACAATTCAAATTAAGTTGTTAAGAAGCAGCAAACTTTAAACTTTATTTAATGAACATATTTGGTCCTTTGAGATTTTTCACCAGCGCCCACATTCTGTTTTCATTGTCTCTTTTGTCTCCACCTGTCCAGGGACCACAGATGGAAATCTAATATACAAAGCATCACTCAGTGTTTGAAACTTGATGCCTTTGGCAGATGGTTCCTGACAAATAAATTAAAAAAACAAAACCTTTAAAGATCTGAGCATCTCAGATTTTTTTCTGTGTTGCCTTGTGGGATGACAGTGTAGCAGCACAGGTGAAAAAGCTAATTTAGTCACCATATGAACAATACAACCATTACAGGAAAAATAAAGTAGAAGTAAATTGACGAAAGGTATAAGTCTGGTTTTCAAACCAAATGTTCCCGAGAGCTTGTAACAAACAAACAACAGACTGAGACAAGTAAACTTTGTCCAAGACTTGTGAGGAAAGAAAAGTTAGAATCAAATAGGTTACACAGCTGGGACTGCAAACAACAACGAGCTGACGGCTGCCAGAAGACCGCAGAGACCCAATTGGCTCAAATGTAGTAAGCAAAAACGATGCCAGTCCATTTACAGCTCTATAGCTGAATCTTCAGTCAACTTTAATGCTTACTGGAGGCCAGAAGTATCCTGAGAAGCAGTGTAATGAGTACACTCTTTCTTTTGCTTGACAGCGTTGTTGTTGTGCTGAATAAGCTGCAGCTGAGACCTTTTACTTTGGGAAGATAGAAGAGGTGATTATTGAAGTTTGGTTCTTCTTGTAATGGAAAAAGGGAAATTAAGTGTAGATTTGGTTTTTGTTCATGCCCGCTGTAGGTTGCTGGTCATAAATAAATTCTACTGACGTTGGTGATTTTGATGTTGCTTCTAGCCCCTCTAGATATTTTAATTTTGAGTGAAATTCCTTAAAAGGTATTGAATGAATTGATGAATTTTGCTACAGATATTCATACCTTGGTGTTCCTCCAAGTCTTCATCTTCTGCCATCTTGAGGTCAGATCAGTTTGGTTTCCCACTAAATACCTGCAAAAATTGTAGATGCTTGAACAGCAGCGAGAACAGTGGTTAACACGCCCTTTACTTCAAAGACACGCCTTACCCGAAACAATGAAACTGAAGAATATAACAAATCACTTAGTAAAACAGTGAGAGAACATTGAAAATGGATTTACCAAGCAACATTAGATTATTTGGTTCTGCATTATCGTCAATAACATCGTAAAAGCGAAAACTCCCATATACCGCCATAAACGAGACAGACAAACATACACAAACTTTGAAGGAATAATGATTTTGTTATGCAGATCTTCTAGACTTTAAAAACGTTATTGGATCAAAATAGATCAAATTTCCGACAGTGAAAGGAATCTTTTCGTGTGAGTTGTGGTAGCTGCTTCTTTCACATTGTAAGCATTTGGGAAAAACACTATGTCGAATTGGCTTCAGAGTCCGGCACTCTACCTGGGGGTTGTGTCCATTTACTTGTATCAGACCGATAGATAGATAACTTCTAACTTCTAACTCTCAGATACATATAAGTACCACTCTGTCTCACACACAAAACTCACTTTCCAGCTGAAGATAATTCAAAATATCAGTAGCAAGTACAATGGAAATACTTTCCGTGATTTAATGAATTCATTTTTGAGTGCACTATTTGATCTTTACAGATACAGTTTCTGTTTGTTGACTGATTTCTTGAGTTTATTTGAGCAGGAAGTCTCTTGAGTTATGTTATTTACTTTACAAGAGCTTTGAAAACAGTAGATTACAGTCGCATAAAACATTTACAAGAGTCTAACCTGTACTTTGTTTCTTCCACTGGTGCAGTTCATGTAAACATGTTCCGTCATTCATTATTGATCTCAAAGTAAAAACCTGCTATGTGGAGTTGTGTAACAGTGATGTGTGTGTTTCAGGTGTATCGTGTATCACCTGGAGACCAGGATGCGTAAGGACGTGTGTTTCGGGGTGATAGCATTGACCTGGGTGCTGAGCGCCGTGCTCGCCAGCCCTCTGGCCATCTTCAGAGAATACGGCTCCTTCACGCTGGAGCCTGGTAACACCATACAGGTACATGCAACTGTAACATATGTACAGACCAGTGCCCACGCCTCCGTCCTCAACCGCCTCTTTGATCTCCTGTTCGCTCCCCGCTGCCTCCCTCATTTTCCCTCCTCTCCATCTCTTTCATCTTTCCATCCTTCCATCCTGTCCTGCCCTTTTCTCTATCTGAATGCAGGTAAAGTTGTATCATTTTTGCTTCTTTTTATAATCTTATTCGATATGTTCTCATCTTGGAATTATTGCTTTAGTTACAGGTATTTGCTTTTTAGTTTCAAATCCTTTTATTTGCTCTGCTGATCCGACCGCCCACAGGAAGGATTTCAATTTTAAACTGAATCTAATCAGAACCAAACAAACTTAATCTCTACGCTACTAAATCTGATGTAATGAATCAAATCTAAAATAATATAGAAACATAGATGCCTCATTGGCCGCTGTCTGGGCAGTTGCTATATAGCGGAGGTCAACAGCCGCTAGCTAACAATACTGAGAGATTCAGACTGCTACAAACTTGTCTGTAACTTGCTTAATTCTGAACCGATTTTCATGCAATTTGGTTTCTCATAAATGTGAAGAATTGAGCTTCATACTGGTTGAAATTAATTCAGTCACTATGGGAATAGCTAATTACCTCTATGCCAAAAAAAAAAAACCAAACTTCTGAACTTCCACTGGGACATACAGGCTGTGTTTTTATAAAATGTGAAATTTATCCACAGGAAAACATAATTAAGGTGAATTATTTTCCCCACACAGTTTTTCTTCCCAGTTTCATGGCTTAGGCAGTAATTTGTAGCATGTGTTGATTCTTTATGCACCAGCTCACAAACACTATTATACATTTATTCATTGTTTTAATTCTGTATTTCGGCCTAAGTGTTGCTCTGACTAGCAGTGTCTGTTTTTTAGGTTTAGGGTTTGTTTATCCACATGCTGTACATGCCTGCAGCATTTTTATAGGATGTGACTGTCTTTTGGCATAGAGCTGATTAGCTCTGCCCCCAGTAACTCAATTAATTCCAGTAATCAGTATCAGGTTCAATTTCTCATGTATATAACAAACCGAATTTCATTCAAATCTGTTCAGAATTAAATGAGTCACAGTCAATTTGTTGTATTGTTAAGTAGTGTAGCTGACCTCCACAGTATGGTGACCATGCAGACGTGTATAAAATTGAGAATGTGGTATCTATGTTTCTATATTATAAACTACATCTACTACATCAGACCAAACTAAGATAATCAAATACAATCTAATGGATAACAATAATTTTTAATTTTGAATAAATTTTTAATTTTAAATTTAATCTTAATGTATTGATCCAAATCAGGCCAATCAAATAAAAAAGAAGCCTAATTTAAATTAATGTAGAATAATCTTAACTTCTTAATCTTATTTCAATTTATGAATCAAATCTAAATGAATATAAACCAAACTTAAATCAAATCTAAACACTGGATATTGACTCTTTGCAGCTATTTCTAAACTGAACTAACAAGCTAAACTTATATAAAGTAATTAATGCAAACAAATCTACTCGTCAATAAAACATTCTAAAGGTCTGAATCTTTTGATCATATGCTGTATTTTAGCTGAATAATATTCCTCTGAGTTGATTTCAGGTTTTTTTAGATCACCTACTGCACAGGCTGTGGGGACTTACTCTTGATTAATACTTGAGAGCAGCTTTGCTGTGTAGAAGAAGGCTTGAAACTAGAGACTGAGACGATAAACTCATTAGGAAACTGTTTACTGAGCTCATAAATCAAGTGAGAAGCCAGGTCATTTCCCCATAACACTCAATACTTTTAGGCTTCTTTTTTGCAGCTTGTGGAGCTCCTCCTGCTGGCCTTTAGAAAGAATGCAGGTTTAAGACACTGGCTTAAAAACGCATTAGCTTTCCTTCAAAAACACAAACTGACTAAGTATATGCTGTCAATGGTACACACCGCTTCACGCCTCTGATTAGCTAGTGTTCATTAGAGATACCATTTAATATTGATTGAACTTTGCAAATTGGCCAATACCAAGTTCCAGTCTACCAATACATGTACTAAAGCATATACTTCTAAGCCTGTATTGATTGCTCTCATTGTAGTATGGTCTGACTGAGGTTAAAAGACTTACTCAGACACATCTACTTGCCGATACCCAATACCACATTTTTAGGCAGTATTGGAGGACCTCTCTTGGAGTGAGATGGTCAGGGTTAGAAAAAATGTCAGGGTTACCCCGAAATTCCACTGGGCAAGGCTTGATTACGCCATGTGTGCAGAGCGGTTTTGCTTGTGGACCATGTTGCAGCCATCTCTGGTGGAATTTGGGTTTAGAACCAATCAGAAGCAGAGTAGAGGTCGGTCTTTGGGGAATACAGGTGGGAAAAAAATGTGTTGTTGTGTAAATACAAAACTGGCTTATTGCTGGAAAAACCAGCACTGAAAAATTAGGGCCAGTATTATGTTGTGGTTAAGGTTTTGCTGGATTAGGGTACTGGCACCTCTTTTGGTCCACTTCAGGCACCAATCAAAGCGAACATATAAAACTGAACTGAATATCTCTCTTTTATCTCCCAGGTGTGCACTGAGAAGTGGCCCGGTAAAAACACAGATGGCACCGTCTACAGCATCTCCATGTTGATCCTGCAGTACTTCCTGCCGTTGTCCATTATCTCCTTCGCCTATGCCCGTATCTGGTCCAAACTGCGCGGCCACGTCAGCCCAGCAGAGAACGTCTGCAACAGCAGTGCCGGCTCCGAGCGCCATCGCCGACGCCGCAAAACCACCAAGATGCTGGTGACTATGGTGGTGGTGTTCGCTGTCAGCTGGCTGCCCTTCCATGCCTTCCAGCTGGCCACGGACATCGACAGCTCGGTACTGGACATGCGCGACTATCGTCTGCTCTACACCGTCTTCCACGTTGTCGCCATGTGCTCCACCTTCGCCAACCCGCTGCTGTACGGCTGGATGAACCGCAACTACCGCGCCGCCTTCCTCGCCGTCTTCAAGTGTGGGAGGGGAGGGGAGAGGGGGAGAAGCGGCCGGCTGGACAGCATTCACCCCGTTGGAGGAGGGGGAGGAGGAGGAGGAGGAGGGAGGGCGAAGAAGATAGTGCTTGAAACCCAGGACGTGGTGTCTACCCACTTGAACGCCACAGACGTGTGAAGGCCTGAGGGAGGTGGGAAATGAAGAGGGTGATGGAGAAGGGGGAGAGATGACAAGAAAATGATGAGGCGGGAAGGAAAAGAAAATTGTCAGGAAATCTTTTGTTCCTCAGAAAACAATAGAGAAGAAAACGAGATTCCACATGGAGACAGAAACAGAGGGGAGATAAAGATGTGAGAGAAAATAGAAACGTCAGAGTGAGAGGAAAGCGACTGGGGGGATTAAAGAGTTTTTGGAAACCAAAATAGAGGAGGAGGAGGAGGCGTAGACAGGCAGGGATTAGAAGAATGACGGGACAGAAGAATGACTCAAGGCCTCCTCGACCAAACGAGGCACCGCCACTTTGGGGACGTGACCTCATCGTGATGGAGGAACCTGGCAATCCGAGAGGAGGGGGGGTGTTCAAGCGAAATTCAACTTACGACGGATTTGTAACACCGACAAAAGTTTGATCCGGAAAGACAACAAGAGCAGATATAAAGAACTGAAGCTTCGGTTGACGAAATTTTGAGGGGATTGTTGAAAGATTCTACAAACTTTTAATGCAATTCTTGTCAAAATAGGGCTTTACTCCATCTTCATTCCACACGTGAAGCATTTAGCTCGTACATTTAACCCAGAGTGGCTTACAAACGGGGGCACAAGGACGCTTATCAGGTTTGCAGGCGACGTTTCGGCAACCGCTTCCTTTGTAACCGTGAGGGATGTGAACGAAAAGTCCGAAACTGAGGCTGCCGGTAACCATCTAAAAAGATTTTGTTTAAAAAAAAAAAAAAAAAAAAACCCCGTATTCTTGAGTTCAGACGGAGCCGAGGACGACGAGGATGCATGATGCAAGCTTTGTGAAATCTCAGACATTGTTACGTAATTACATTGTGTGTTTTTAATGTGGATTATCCTACAAAGAAAGCCGGATGTAGAGGAGGTGGTCAAATTGAAGATAAGACAAAGAAGGGAAAGGGGTGGGGGGGGAGATCAAATTACAAATGATTTAAATCAAAATGGCTTTGTTTTTCCTTTTTAAAATGGATGAAGGACAAAGAGCAGAGAATGGGAGACGGGGCAGATGGGGGAAAAAGCAATGACGATGAGAGGATCAGTGGGAAGAGGGGAAGAAGTGAAATGTGGGATAATGAGGCGAAAGAAAAAAGTCCCAGCAAGAGGGCGATTTCAAAAGAACAAGCTGCAATTTGGTGTGAAACAGCGGAGAAAAGATCCGTTCTTACAAGCGCACAGATGAATGTTTGTCGCGTTTTTTTGCGGTTGAGATTTTGCACCTGTTCGAAAAACGTCTCTCAGATCAGTTTGTGAAAGCCACACAGGTCCTGATATTTTTAATACTGCTTTTAATACTACTCATTTCAAACGTCATTACTGATGTTAATCAGCACTGCATAATAAGATATGGGGAAAAAAATATGATTAAAATATGATTGTTCACTTTGAAAAAATGCTAATTTCGAACACACCATTTTAATGAAGTGTTAACATTCATACAGCTGTTCGTGTCCACACCTGGACATCAAGGGACCTTTTTGGCCCTGAACTGAGCCTCTCAAGCAGCTCTTACTTGCTCATTATACAGAAAAAAAAACCGCCTGCAGATGCAAAACAGGATCAATGTATTTGCCATGACCACCATGACTTACAACTAATTCTGGAGACTCTAACTCTAACTCTAACTAATAAAGTACTCCAGTAATTTAGCATTATACTCCTGTTACATCGTCAGACTCGTGATATAAAGTTCTAAAAAGCACAGCTGACACTTTGGTCATACATTGGGGGGTTTTATGCTGGTAATGGCTAATGTAGCCTGGAGCCTGTTGTCTGCCGCAGACTTATACCCTCTATAAATGGTGCCTTTATTGGCCTTTTCCGCTAAAGGAACTGATCGACCCATAACTTGTCCAGGTTCTGCTTTTGTTTCCACTATTATCCCCCCACTCTGGGAGCAAGTCCCTGAACTTACACTTCAGCACCGGTACTAAATCCATGTTCTAGGTACTCTTGGGGCAGTGCCTGAATTGGACCAAAATAAGATGCCAGTACGCTATTTCAGCACAATCCTAATCCCCCAGATAAGATAACCCTAACCTTAATTCTTCTGCCATTTTGAGCCTTTTTAACAAGGACAGTGAAAGTGCTTCTTAGCGTGCGTTTCTTAGCAGCGGGGAAGCGCTGTAAGTATCAGTATCAGTACCAACGATACCGACTGGTATCGGATTGGTATCGGATCGATACCAAATCCTGCTGTATCGCCCACCACTATTCACAACCTTTGTTGAATACTCCTAGGAAAAATCCAGACCTTCGTGACCTCAGTAGTGGGTACAGACATCCTACCTAGAGGTCATGGTACTCAGTAAGATACTCATGTGGACACAAAATCAGAAAGGCCAGAATGAAGGAACCTTGTACATCTTTGAAAAGTAGTTCCTGGAACTAAAAGTGGCTATAGTCAGGCTTTGTGTTGTGTGGGAGCTGACCTCCCATCAAAGTAGTATAATCATACATCTGTGGGGCTCTCAAATACATTACCACAACCATTATTTTAATGACAAATAATGCTCAGGCTATAGAGTAAAAACGTGACTAAACTGAGAACCAAGTACGTTCAGGTTCAGGTACGTTATGGTTAAAGTTTCAATAGCGGAAAAGGGCTTTTATTCGAAGTGGTGGGTGCCACACAATTATAGTTAGATGCCGTCAGGTGTAAATGAAAAAAGTTCCACCTCTTTCAAGTCTTTTCATTTATTTGCGCTGCCAGACCATCTCTCGCCTCTGCCATCCCATTATGCTCCAGTGTTGGCACTGCCCGACAGACTGAACTCATTAACTGTCTGTGATGAGGGCAATAGACATGCTGACAGCTGTATAGGAGACAATCGGGTCTCCTGCGGCTCCACTTGTTGCCATCATTGTGTTTTCACACGCTTACACAAAGAAACCCTGCAGTTGGGTCTTAACTTCCATGCTCCAAATTAAATGCATTGTTCAAAATGTTATTACCAAAGGTTGTTTCATTATGTGTTTAAACTTTAATTGCCTAATTGTAATTGCAACCCTCAGTCTCCCTTTGGCAGGGGCTGTGTCAACACCGTAATTTAGTGTAAACACAGCAGACTGAATAATGACCTGCAAACATTTTTGCACAGTGTGCATGAACACAACAGCAGCTATTGGTTTAAACATAAACCGAAAAATAATACGTAAATTGATCAGAAATAGACTAAAGCTTGAAAAACAGTCAAACACACACACAGGTGTAAAAGGGGATCAAATGCTTGGAAGATAAAATCCTTCATTGTTTTTGGACTTAGTGTCCTACCTCTCTTGTGTTTTCCTCTTTAAATCCCTCGATCCTCTCTGAGTTGCGTCACTGCCTCGCTCGACCCGCAGTCCCGCAATCCCTCTGTTCCCTCCCACTGAACCGCACCAGCTGTTTATCTCCGTCCTCGTTTCAGCTCCTCGTCTGTCTCCTCTCCGCTCTCTTTCCCTGTGAATGCATGCCTCAGAAAGCTAGAAATGGTGTCTTCCTCTAAGGATGAAATGGAGGATAATTATGAGAAATGTCTGTTTCATTTTGACCAAGTGCAGAGTCACAAACAGTCCTGATAGAAAACAACAGCTGCTACATTATGTTGTCAAAAATTACAGCTTCCAATGAGGGATCTCATTTCAAAACAGCTGAAATGTTGTCATCAGTAAGTATTTTACACACATTTGACTGTATCCACCACAAACATCAGTTTTCTCTGGTAATGACAAAACATTTTAAGAAGTTTAATATTAAACCATAATGTGCTTTAGTTCAACAGCATCCTGAGTTTATAATCCCTGGATTTGAGTTTTACAGTTGACTTCTGAACAGCATTATACTTTGAGTGGAAGCAGGTCAAATGGAGGTGCAGAAAGACAGTTTGACGCCATCTGGTTTGCTTTGGATCCCCACAGCTATGCCACAATGCAGTGCATGGATTCGTCATCATACACCCGACAATAGTGTTGGGATTTGAGTTATTTTGGGGTTGTTAGCGTAAAAGTCTGATTTACTGGAACGGCTTGGATGGACATGAGTCATCAGTGCTTCTTTAATCAAAGTTAAAACGGTATAAGCCTGTGGAAATCTAAGGAAAGACTTGAACAAGTATCCAGGTGCTATTGTTTGCAATCTCAGAACCCATCAGCTATTGTCTGACGCCGATTTAGCCTGTTGGCAACGGCCAATGTCTTGGCGGTTGCAGTGTCGCCAGCAGATATCTGAATAATGATATCCAAGCTTAAACTTCCTCTTCTAGATGCATTTCAGCTAATCTCTAATTACAGATATCGGGAAAGGAATGCCGATATGTTTTAAAAAAAAACGATAGCCAGGGATTCCAAGACTGCGTTTCGACTGATGCATTCTGCCTCTTTAGCTCTCCAGACCATATTCTGTCACCAGACGGTCCTCCATTGGTATTGGATGCTGTATTGGGATCCGATCTGGCTGTACTGTTCACTGGGAGCTCCCAGTCCGACAATGTCAGCTAATGTGTTTGCTATTTTATGGATGCTACATTGGAAAAAGAGGAGAACAGAAAACCTCCTGTTATTCCAACTATTTCCCTTAAATTTGTTAATCTTTTGTTCTGATGATTCAAGTTTCAGACCCATCCAAGCTGCTGAAGCACTCCATCTTTGAGTCATGTGACATTTTATACGTGAAAAATGAATGTAACTTTTCCTTCCGGGTCCACACGAGCGAGCTAACTTACCCGCTAGCTCACTCGCTAACCTGCTATTTAGATCCGTAGCGTTTACTAGCAAGTTACTAAACTTAGAACTGTTGGCAAACAAAAAAGGTAGTGAGTTACACAGCTAACTTATTCCCATTGACAAGATTAATAAATTCAGCTGGAATTTGCAAAGCTTGTGGACTCAAACGTTAGCTACAAACATTCGTAAAGTGTGCCTACGCTAGCACTGTGGGACAAGCTTGAAAGTAAATAAGATGGCGTCAAACTTTTATGAAATTCACCTTTTTAATTGCTCCTTGTGTGTAAGTCAGCCTGTTTTCTATTATTTGAAGAAAAGAGTTGAACAGGTATTTAGTTTCTCATTGATGACGTTCTGATGTATTCTGGCGAGGTTTGCGATGGGAGGACACAGATGCTGCTCAACCTTTATCAAACATGAATGTAAACTTCTTTGTAACATGGCTGTAATGTTGTATATTGTATAATTTTGTGTAAATATTGGCTCTGTGAAAGACTGTAACCTAGCACAAACTGTTGGCCTTTACCTGCGTCCAACAACAGATGTACTATTCTCAAGCACAAACACGCCTCTGGACTCTTTCTTACTGTCTGTATGTGTGTGTGTTTTCTGTGTGTATTGTTGAAATTTGACCATATTCAGCTTCGAAACAATAACCATGAACTTGAATATCATATGCTGCCAAGGTGCTGATGAACTGGCAACAAATCAGAACATAGTGTATTAACATTTAATTATAACTGTGGGCTTATGAATTATTGTAAGAACCCCTAATTAATGACTGTCTAGGTGAAATGAAAAATGTAATTTTAACCCATTTGGATCATATTTTATGGACGAAATATTGTCTGGTTTTGCCTCTGATGTCCACTACCGCTGATGGACTGGGGGGACGTAACACATAGTAAAAAGAAGTCCCTCCCTAATTGCCTGTCTTTTCAAAGGAAATATGAAAATGTGCAGAAGCAAATAACACTTTGATTTCCATTTTTTGCTGATGGTTTATAACGTGAGACATTCTTATTATTATGTATTTGCACTATAGGTGCACACTCTAATCTGCCATAATGAAACCATTAGTTTGTAAAAATGTTAAACGTTTTAATGACTTTGTCCTTTTTAATTGGGATGTACACAGTGGTATTTATGGCAGGACAGAGGTTTAATCTCGTTTTTAATCTGTAAAAAAGTTACGAAACTTGCGTAAAATGGATTTATAACTATTAAAAAGGCTATAAATGATCCTAGCCATTTAAATTAAAGCAAAAACTATGAATTTCATTTTAGATAGACTTCTCTCAGTACTCCCAAGTCTGACTGACGTCCAGCATCCCTGTGCACGTTTACTGGGTGAGAAAATGTGTTAGTGGATCACTAATATTTATAGCTACAGTCATAAGAGTGTATTTGCTTTTTCAGACTTTTCCAAATGCCTACTAAACTAGCAGCATGTACTGATTTGACCAAAATATAGTATGCAAACAAAAGCAAATTCTGCAGTATGCCAAAAACACCTGGATGTCGTACTTATTCGGAAGAAAAGCTCCAGTCTTTTGTGTGTCCCATAGTGCAACGCAATCACAACACCCTATAAATATGTTATTCTAGTTCTGACAATAGATCTTCCTAAATGTTACCCACTGGACCATTTTAAGGCTGAAGAATGAATGTATTGAGAGGAGGTCCTCACAGGCATAGGAATTCAAATCGTGTGTTTGTGTGTAGTACTGTATGTGTGTATGTGTGTGTGTGTGTGTTGGTTTCAGGGTTAATTTGCATGGTAGCTGTTCCATTTCAAATCTAATTAGTTTATTCTCAACAGATCCTAATTAGCTGTAAGTGCATGCGCCGGTCTCCACGGCAACCGGAGTATGTATAACTTTGTCTTGATATGCGTTGTGCAAACAGGCGGAGAGCTCGAGTTCAGTTTGTTTTCCAACTGTGACACAGCATAAATACAGATTAAAAAAAATTTTGCATTTAAAACTCAAAGAAACTAAACTTTCTATGCATTTTGTTATATTACATCACTTAAACTATCAATCCTGTAGGAGTATAATGGTATTGCTTTTTAGATGACTGAGTTCCTGTTTTACTGAACAAACAGCATGCCCTACTGTTTCTAATTGATGTCTGAAATGGATTATACAATTTGGTTCAGCAGCAGATGGTATGTGTATAATCACCATGCATTACAGAGAATTTGCCTAAATTTAATTTTCCAATAGGTATACAACAGTTTTAAGTAATTTTGGCAGCAAACTCTTCAAACTGCTTCTCTTTTATGAAAAAGGCCACTTTGTAGTCCTCTGCTGATATTTCAGCTCCTTCTCAGTTCAATCTGTCCCATTCATTCAACCCATTTGGACATAACACTGTCAACAATGTCTAACAAACCAAACAAAGTAACAACACAGCAGTACCAAAATAAGTATACAAACAAAAGTAAAAAATGCATTCAAACATGATGTGAACTATCATTGTCATTCTTGTTTCAGGACTGACGCTTACATGTGTCGCTTTTAAGAAAGGTTTCCTTATGTTAGGGTACCTCCAACACTCATTCTGAGGAATAAAATAAAGGGTTTCCAGTGTTCCACAAAATACATTTATATGCTTATCCCTTTAACCCATTTGTGCCTGCAAATGAAATTCTGAAGTTCTCTGGGTTTGCCTAAGCACAAATCTGAAGAAAAGTTCAAAATTGTTCTTTTTTCCCTAAAAGCATAAGCAGAATTTGTCCTGACTAATATTAGTTGTACATCTTTTATTTATATGTAATATATATAGATAGGAGACTGTTGCATGTGTGTACTAAAGTAATAAAAGATCCCTCAAAAACAGTTGTCAAGTGTCCCCAAAGACTAAATCCAGTATGATAAGAAATTTGCTGTGTCTCAGAAACTACAAGGACCACAAACACCCCTTAAAATCAAGAAGGCCTCATGACCCCCTATGAAGCTTTAGCAGCCCCGAATGGGCTTCCTGATCCCCAGTTTGGGAACCACTTGTGTTTAGCAACTGTGACATCTATCTAAATATTTTTTCACACCAGAGGTGACTGATGCTCAGTCAGCAGTCAGAGTGGCTCGCTGTGCAGCACGCATTTATACAAAAAAATCCCACAGTTTATAATTGTGGAAGTTCTAATATGTTTATTCACTCCCACATTTCCCCATCAAGGAGCTTTAATTTGCGTCAAAAGCTCTGAATGTTTGAGTTGGGGAGATTTTACTTTAAGTTTACATCATGGCAAACACCTGAAACTATTCAGAGAATATGTTATCGAAGGTCAGTGATGACGTTATTTAGTTAAAAATCATAGAAGTTAAATTTCACCCACATATGTAACCGCGTAATGCGAAAAAACACGTTTAATTATATAGTTTTCAGTAAAAAAATTTTAATTGAACATACTACAGAGTTTTTAACCCCCTGGGGTTGTCGAACATGCCGGCACATTAATTTATTATACATTTATATACTATTTTATTAATATATTGCAGTGTTTTTGTGAATCTAAAACTTTGATAAACCCATTACAAATGTTATCACATTTTTGAAATTCTTCAAAACTCTTGTCAAATTATCTCTGTACACACTGCTCTAGAACAAATATTGCTAATTGTACAGATAGCTGAGATCTTTATGCACATTTTGATATAAAAGACATGGGTGTATCATGTTATGAAGTCCCCTTTTAAAGGTAAATTTAAAAAAGTTTGTGAAAAATTGGTTATGAAATAAGTCTTAATTTAATACTGATGCCTTTATATGACCTATAAACAAAAAGAAATTACTACACAGAAATAGCCTTTAGCTGAAGGTATTAATGCCAGGGTCGGATATAGTCAAATTCTCCTTACAATCAATAAAAGAAGGCATGGAATGTCGTCAACAACATCACAGGAGAGAAATGCCGAAGATATGTTTTAATGATCTCGTCATTTGTTTTTAACTGTAAAATGTTTACAAGATTTTTTGACAAGAATCCCTTAAATTGTGTTATAATGTGTAAAACATCAATTAATAGTCCAGGCCTGTAATTGAACCAGTCCTTTAACTCCTTTAATTTAAACCAATATGATTATTACTTGTATAAAAAGTAGCCTATCAAATAAAGTATCAATTACAAATCATTATCTGTGAGTACAACACGTCATTGGAAGCTGTTGCAGAACCATTTCAACCCTTTCCCATTTCAATAAAATAAATCAGCTCAGAGTTGAATATTGTCACTTATGGACTTCCATACGCCACAGGGTTATTAATTGACATTCATGGAAAAGTGATCTGGGAGAATGAATACGCAAATACAACTCAGCAACTGCTTTCAGTAATATGTTTTCCATGCTCCAGTAGACCTGCTGAAGGCTGCAAAACTGGGGTTACATCCCATGTAGAGTTTAAATGGCAAAACTGTACGAGAAATGGAGCGACATATGTGCTTGCTAAGATGCTATCCACATACGAAAAGGTCGTTTTGAAACTCTCCAAAGCTAAAAGAGCTAATTAAACAGTTGGAATTCAGCCGTCATGCCTGCAGATTTCTGAGGAAGCGGCTAAATTTATGAACAACCGACGTCCGTGCGGAACAATTCCACCATGTACGGACTTAATAAAGGCTGAATGACGGATTGGATGACTCATTCGGATGCAGAAACTCACACTGAGTGACTCATCCGCACACACACCCTTACCCACAAGACTCCTACTGTGAAAGACAATAAACCTGATCAAACCTAAATGTCTCCTCACATCCACTGAGGAACTCTAAACACCACGGGACATACGGATTAAGTAAGTGAGGGAACATTCAGGCCCGAAAAACATACAAAAACTACGACATACACCTTTTTATGAGCGCTTGATTTGCTTATTTAACAAAACAGGTAGAGGGCACCTGATCCAAGGCTCAAGTGTTTGATTTTAGAGACAAAATGAAGGCGAGGTTCAGGGAGAAACCTTATGTAGGGACAGAAACGTATAGTAAGCAGTGATTTCCAACATCAAGGTTCAAAGAATACTTCACAGAAAATGTATGTTATGAGAATGAAGTATTCATGTTTGTAGCAAGACAGAAGCTTGCATTCACCAGAGTAAGGGAGCCAACATGTCAAGATTAGCTTTTGAGCAGCTGCTTATTGGCGCACAGCTTCTTCAACATATTTCACAGTTTAACTTCCAAAATAGCAGGATGACGGACAAGAAACAACGGCTTACTTACGGGTTACTTAAGCAGGTGAGGAGAAATGTCCAAGAACAGATCAATGGCATTTGAGACATACAGAGGACTAAACATGCACATCAACGTTTCTCTCTTATTGCCTCATAATGGCAAATAATTTATTGTCATGGTATGAAAAGTATGGGATGGGATTCTCTGGTCAACTCATTTTATTATCATTATTTAACCTTTATTCACCCATTCTTATTTGCCCTGAAAAGCCTGACGCTAAGCCGGAGCATAATTGTTACTTCAAGCAATCTCTTATTGATTGCTGAAGGAAAGGAAGGAAGAAAAAAGAAAGAAAATAAAGACAAGGAGCGAGCTATTGATTGAA